TGGAGCACCTGGTTCCTGACTCCAGCTGGACGCTGCGTGTGGCCCACTCTGCCGCCTCGTGCCCTCCTTTCACCCGGGGGGTGGGGGGGTCCCCGCAGGCCCGATCCAGCCTGGCCCCGGCAGACCCCAGTGTGTGCCCCGCAGCAGGCCCTGTGTCTGGGCCGAGGCGGGTCCTCCCCGGGGCTGGTGGCAGGTCCCGGTGGAGACCAGGCCGAGAGCAGGTTCTGGGTGGGGGGCGGGGGGTTCTTCCTGGTTATTCTAAGCACCCAGACAGCTGCTGACAGATCTGAGAGGTGGCTCGGTGATACAGGCTCGCGTCTGGAGGGACAACGGGGCAACAGCAGGGACTGGTGGTGTGGGAACGCCCCCTCCCTGCTCCCTGGGCACCAATGTCTCCCACTGGCTGAGAAGCAGGTGCCCAGGCAGGGACGGGAGGTTGGGCACTTTCTGGGGCTGTGTCTCTGGGCTGCCTGCCTTTGCAACAGGACCTCTGCGTCCTGCACCTCAGCCCTTGCTGTGGCTCCCGGGGGCTCCCATGGAAGGCTGGCGCTGCCTGGCGCTTTCTGAGGCTTGAGAAGCAAGGCTGCCCCTTTCCACCACATGGCGGTGACATTAGCTTTTGAGGGCCACGGTGGGGGCTGGTGTGGTGTCTGCCATGTCACCGTGGCCTCAGAGAATGCAGGGTCCATGCGGGCGCTAGTCCAACACTCCCTTACTCCCCGCCGCACCTGCCGGAGGCCTCTCCAGGCTGGGCCTACACCTCCACCTGCTGTCTCCATGCCGCCCCCCCGGCTAGTCCCACCAGGGCGTCCCCAGGCACGTGGCAAGAAGAGGAGCCTGGACACCATCCAGGCCTTAGCCGGGAGTTGGTGCTGTCCCGGCGAGGAGGCAGGAGGGTTCTGGAAGTCTCCACTTGAAGCTGGAATCCTCTGGCTACTGGCCTGCCCACAGTCTGGCTTCAAGGACGCGGTTTTCTTCAGGGACAGGTTGGCTGTGGTGTCCCGCCTCATCTCCCTCAAGGCCCTCAGGGCCAGACTGCCGCGCGCCACAGCTCAGCTCTCCCAGGCGGGGCCTGGGGCCATCTGCCACGTCCCGGCGGGCGGGTGCTGGGGAAGCCAGCGTTGAGGGGAATCAACGGAACATTGAACAAAGCAGGAACGCTTTACCGTAAAGGATGTGAATGCCTTCGGAGCCCCGGCCTCTGCCAGGCCCCCGTGGTGGCCTGGTGTGTGGGCACCTCACCCGCTGTCTCAGTTCCTGTCGCTGCAGCTAGAGCGGGGCTCCCTATCCGTGTCAGGAAGGGCTGCTCAAATCTCCATTTAACTGTACAGATTAAAAAGAAAAAAAAGAGTGCCCTGGGGTGAATGCGTGAAAGGAGACAGGAATCAGAGGCGGCCTGGCCTCCTGGCAGGGTCCCCACAGTCCCTGCAGCCCGGCATCCCCACCCTCCGTGACCCGACGGCTGAATGAAGCCGCCGGCCCACCTCGGCCGCAGGGCGCTGGTGCATCACCGGCCTGCCCGAGGCGGGCTCACCCTTCACGTGTCCCCAGGCAGCTGGTGGCAGCTCCCGGAGGGGCTGAGTCACGCTGGCCTGAGGGGCTCCTGCTGGCTGGGCCATGAACCCCGAGCGCTCGGCCCGCGGGGGAGGGAGGGTGAATCCGGGAAAGAGGTCAGCATGCAGACCACATTTCAGGGTTCTCAGTCCCCAGCGGGTAGGAGTCGCCTCTCCTGGGTTCTCGAGGGGCGTCCATACGGGAGTCACTGCCTGCCAGGCGGAGGAGGGGCTGGCAGTGTTGACCTCTGAGGGTCTCACTCCAAGGCCTGAACTTTGGCGGGGACCCTGTGAGTGAGTCTGCCGGGCCCAGGCTCCTTGCAGGCAGGGGGGTTGGCCGCGCAGGGGGGCCGGAGGAGGAAATGGGGGCGGGGGGTGGGAGAGGAGCCTGACATCTGCCTCGGGCGTCCCGCTTTCCCACGGCCCCATCAAAGTCCTCTGGGGAAGCACGCTGGCCAGTGACCTCCCCCCCTCCCATTTCCTCACCCCACGTCGGCCCACGCCCCTCCCCCTCGGGTGCGACCTTGTTGGGGGGCACTCCCCCTGGCTCCCCTGCACACCCAGGGGACTGCACCCCTGGATTCGAGGCTGGGACGCGCCCTCCGAGGAGATCCCACCCAAACCACCCAAGAGACGCCCCGACTCCTTCCCGCGAGTCCACCCCTGTCAGATGCTGCCGCAGGGCGGTCTCCCCAGGCCCTAGGCCGCCAATGATCCCAAGGGATGGGCAAGCGCCGGGAGGCCACCCCCCAAGGGGGTCAGGTTGCTGAGGACAGCCCATCAGCGTGGGCCTCCCTCTAGCCCCGCGGCTTCCGAAGATCCGACTCACTCCCCCCGCGCTGCACCCCTAGAGTGTAGAGCGCGCAGGCGGTTTCCAGCACATGCACAAGGATGTCCGATTCTAGAACAATTCTAGAGCATTTCCATCACTGCGAGGACTCTCATCCCTGTCCCCCTCCCTCCAGCCCGAGGCGCCCTCGCTGTGGCTACGCCTGTTCCGGACGCTTGGTGTAGACAGAACGGCAAGCCAGATGCTTCTCCCACGTCCACCCACGAGGTCGCCGGCCAGAGCCACACGCCTGTTCGCGGCTGAGGGATGCTGCGTCGTGGGCATGGTCTCCGTCCCCCTCTATCAGGCCCAGGGGCCTTGGGGGCTCGGGAGACGTTCCAAACCCCTCGGTGGGCTGTGCCCACAGCACGTCCTGGGCAGGGCAGGGCTCCCGCAGACGGGAGCGAGACTCGGGCCTGGAGCAGCTGTGCCCCCCACCGTCTCTCCACCCTCCTGGAGCTCCGTGTATTCGAACAACAGCGACAGGAGGAGGAGAGGGACGGGAAAGGGTAAGCCCCACACGCGATGATAGTGAGCGTGTGTAGACCCTCCACCACCTTTCAACCCACCTGTAACAAAACGGACAGATTCTGTGCTCAGCTCCATTTAAGACTCCATCATCCAATATGGAAAACCTTACTGCTCCCAGTTGAGACTCGAGGCCACATCCGAAATGCGGAGAGGCCCTGGACCCCCCCCCCCCCCCGCCAGGCCAACTGGCAGCCAGTCCCCGGGCCCCCGGCCCCGTGGTGCACACGCACAGCTTGGCGGGTGGGTGCCCCAAATCGAGCACGGGCACCTTGGGGCTCCAGTGGGCGCCCGCCCCTCCGTGCACGCTGTGCGCCAGGCACCTCACAGCCGCCCCACCTGCTTGGGCTCTAAGCCCCCTCTGCAGCTGTGCACCTACAGAATGAAGGTCTGGAAGGTTCCACACTTCCGAGTGACCTGCGTGTGGAGACCGGGGGCCGAAGCCACACCCCACGGCCTCCAGCCCCCCCTCCACAGCGACCCCAGGTGACCTGAGCTGGCAGGCCTGGGGCTGGAACCGAACCGTCTGAGCCTGTAGCGTGTGAGCAGGTAGGCGAGGGCCAGCTCGCTGGTGCCAGTCAGGTGCCCCCCGCCCGCCCCAGCACAGCACCCCCTTCCCCGGTGCCTATTTCCGAGCGCACGGACTCCTGGGGTGAGCACCCTGGGGCCCCACGGAAGGCGCCTGACTCAGTCCTCCCGGTCTGCCTCCCAGCCCTGTCACACCTCACTTCCTGCTGCCGGCAGGAAGGTCACCAGAGAAAATATAGAACACCCAGTTACATTTGAATTTCAGACATAAACACAGTTTCTAGTACAAGTACGTCCCATACGTTACATGGGATATATTTGTACTAAAAAGTATTCATTCTTTGCCATTCCAAGTTAACTGGGCAACTTGTTCTTTTTTTTTTTTTTTTTTTCTTAGGGAGGAGAGCGCATGAGCGGGGAAGGGGCAGAGAGAGCCAGAGAGAGAATCCAAGCAGGCTCCACGCTCAGTGACCCTGGGATCGTGAGCAGAGCCGAAATGAAGAGTCGGACACTTAGTGGACTGAGCCCCCGCCAGGCACCCCGACGACCTGTGTTTTAACATGGGAAGCACCTGTCACTGGAGGCCGCCTGGCTGGGCAGGGGCCCGGGCTGCCCGTCCCGAAGGCCACCCTCTGTGGAGCCTGGCCCAGCCGCACACACAGTAAGGGGAGCACCTGTGGGCCTGCCTTTCGGCGTGGGGCTCGAAGGTCGGCCGCCTGCCGGCCCAGGCCCCTGCTTGGAGGCCTGAGCTCCCTTCAGCACCCCAGAGGGCTCAGTGGGGCTCACCTCCACTCGTGCCCGACAGCCACCAAGCGGCCGCACTGTGAGGACCCCGGCCCGGCACACTCACCTGCCGGGTGACCCAGGTCTCACCTCCCCAAGCCTTGGCTTCTGGCCGTGGCTGTTACCGATCTCGCATGGGCTAAGCCCTTCCTGTCCACCCACCCGGGACAGGCACGGGCCAACCCCACGGGAAGCCACGGTCTGGCCCACAAAGCAAACGGGGGCCAGCAGATGGCGAGGTGAGCACTGCAGAGGCAGCTTCGGACAGGCCCCTGAGCTCCGGAGGCTGCCCCCCGGGTCCTGACAGAGGCGGCCACGCTGCCCCCTGCCCCGCAGCCCGGACTGTCAAAGCGGAGGGCCCCCCAAGGCAGGCGGAATGTTCCACAGCCACACACCTCAAGGGGCTGAGGCCTTCTCCCAGGGGGGCGGAGCCTGTTTCTACTTTCCTCCCACTGAGCTAAGGGGCCATTTCCCCCACACCCCACGCGCACACGGCAGATCTTTGTCCAGGAACGGCTTTGCCCTTAAAAAAACAGAGCAAATAGCAAAAAGCAGAACCAAATTTCCAGAGGCCTGGAGGGTTTAAAAGACAATACATCTGAACGCTCTGTACAGTTTAATTAAACAATTTTCATGCCAATTTCCCAATCGTCCTATGCCTCGTGTCTCCCGAACATTCCTTTCCAGCAACGCGAACGTATTACCGTCTCGGCGCTTTCAGTGTCATTTTCCCTCCCGGGCGAGGCTCTCCCCCCCGTGGGGCAGACCCCCTCTCGCCGATGGCCGCCGGCCTCGGCTGTGCTACCTTGAGCCTGATGGAGGCCCAGTGCAAGCCCGTGGCTTCCTGGGGGCAGTCCCGCTGGACGCCGGGAACGCAGGCGTCGGTGAGCACCAGCCCGGGGGACGCAGAGCCTTGGGAGGACGGTCCTGGCGGGCCCTCAGCTCGGTCAGATGGGAGTGGAAGATAGTAGGAGGTAAAAAATGCCCCTTCGAGGGACGGCACGGCCCCGCCCGTCTGTCAACGGGCCACGGGGTTTCTGAAGGCTATGGGCCTTGTCAGGTTACAGATGTTGTCTTTAAAAAATAACGTCTATTTTTAAAAATCCATGGCTCTGCCCTTTCTGCAGACATCCAGAGGACAGAGCGTGACAGAAAAGGGTGACAGTCTGTCTCGTTCAGAATGACATGCAGCTTTCTCCCTGTGCCAAGGGACCCCGTGGAAACTGTGCCCTGCCCTCCCCTTCCCCAGCACCCCACCTCAAGGCTGGCCCAGCACATAGGTACCCCAGGCTCTCTCTGGTTTTTCCTACTCCTCAGCCGTCTCCTGTGTGCCACAGGGCCTTTGCACAGGCTGCTCGCCCTGCTGGGAATAACCCTCTGTTCCTCTCCTGGCTGCTTTCTTGTTCTCAATATGTCTCCTGCTCCCCATCTTTCTCAGCTCTCCATGGCAGTTAACACAGTTTGTAAATGTTTTCATCCTGCATCCAAGGATGTGTTACTGGCTGCCTCCTTGCTGGAATGAAGCTTCGGGGAACAAGAACAGAGCCTGGACTGGTCCCCGTCGCTGGGTCCCCAGTTCCTCCCACGGCCCGGCACCCATTTGACCTCTCGCTAATTTTTGTCCAGCAAACCACGAAGAGCCTTCAGCTGAAACCCATCTGGAGCTTCCCCCTCAATTGTAAGGAGTGTGGAGAACAGGGGATCCAGGGACCCTTGCCCAAGGACCTGCTTCGGCTTCTGTGTCTGTCCCATCCTTGCAAGCTTCCCTGCAGGGCTGAGGTCTGGGCCCCTGGGCTCTTCCAGAGCCTTCTTCCTCGTGGCCAGAACCCTAATTGCTGTCTGAGGACCTTAATTACTGGTTGTGGCCCTCGGCCGCTAAGTAGCGGCATTAAAGTAGAGTAAATGTTTTCCTTTTCCTGAAAAGTTCATATATACAAGAGCGGGTGCCGCTCAGCGGCGAGCAGCCTGCGCAGAGGGCACCGCCTGGGGCCTGCCCGGCAGCTACTGTGGGCACGCCTTCCCGTACCTTCGTCCACCCCACAGAGTGCCTTTCCCAGGACGCAGCTGCCCCCAGGGCCTCCCCGAGTCCCCGCACAGCGCCTTCCCACCCTGCAGGTGGAGAAGCCCAGGGCGGCAGCCGTGCCAGGTCTGGGAGTCCCCAGGTGGCCTTCACTCCCTGCCACCCCAGCAGCCGGTGAGGCCTAAGGCTCCTGGAGCAGCATGTGAGGACCGGCCAGCTGCCTGCTCTTTGTCCGGAGGTGGTGGGGCTCTGCACGCTGACTGGGGTGGGGGGTGGGGGGGGGGGGGGGGGGGGGGGGGGCTTGGCAGGAGCGAGGGAGCCGCCCCTCCGAGGAGGCTGGCTGGGGGGGTGGGGAAGGTGCTCCCAGAGCAGTAGTCCCATGGTGACCGTGGTGACCGGTGGTCCTGGTTCTGACTCCAGGCGGGGCCCTGGGGTGGGGAGGAGTCAGGAGCCGGCCCGGCCCCCACCCCCTCCGCTGACACCCGGAGGGCAGGTCTCCCTGTGTGCCTGGTGGGGGCCTGCCTTCCTGGTCTGGTCCAGGCGCTGAGGTAGCGACGGTCCCACGAGGACTCCTCTATGGAAGGACCCCTGGAACACAGGAGCTTCAGTGACCTGTTCTGCGTGTGCTCAGTGTGTGAGACTGGGGGCTGCAGGAGGGCCCGGCCCCGGCCGCAGGGTCTCACGTGTCCCCACCCAGGAGGGGTGGGCACGGGACAAGTTCGCAGAAACTGCCTCAGGTATGCGCGCGCGCGCGCGCGCGCGCGCGCGGGGTGCTGGGGGAGATGCGGCTGCGGGCGCACCCAGAATCCCACCCACGGACACAGCGGCACATCACACGGGCACGGTCACACCCAAAACACACACGCGGAGGGGGAGGGGCACGCAGCCTCGCAGTCACGGCCGCGGCCGCCCACGTCCGCCCGGCCCCGCCCCCTCGGCGACCCCGGCCCGCCTCGCCCGGGTGTAGGGGGCGGTGCGCGGCGGCGGGGAGGGGG